CCACAACCCATTCATTCACCAAAGACAAAATCACAGGTTATCGCCATCCGTAAGATGTTTTCTGAGGCGCCCATCCGCCACCAAGCAGAAGCCGGATGCGTTAAACCCTCTACCGCTACGCAGGGCTTCAGCACCTCTCATACAGCACAACACATTAGCTATCCTGCAGTATCCTAGGGAGCAGGACCATCAAGACCATCCGCAGCCGCAGCAAAGCGGACTCTTTTCTTAACCCCTCTCGAGATCTTGAAGACATCAGCCAGAGCTTCAGATGTGCAGATGGAACTTATAAAATAAAGAAGTCAGCGTGGCAACATTTCAGCTTATTTTGTGCCAGTTTATTTCGTACCAACTTGCCGTCTCATTCGTGGGTATTGCGTTTACACTTAAGGGGTTTATTTTAATTCTTTGTTTTTCCCGTATATATCTTTTCCATCATTTATCATTATCTTATCTTAGTCATCGAATACTCTCTTCAATTGTTGGTGAGGTCTCACCTTCCTTGGCTAGGGAGCCTTTTTTATTTTTGCATCAGATTTTAATTGCGTATGCAGCTATCTACCTATGACACAATATCAAAGAAAAGTACAGAAAAGATGACTCAATTTACAAGAGGAGCACTCATGCCTCGGATTTCATTTGCAAGTACCACTGCGAAGTTATGGCGGCTTTTTCTTCACCCCAAACCCTCATCCGTGAATACCCACCCAGGGGAACGTCTCAAAAACCCTGAGTTATCCAGACATGCCTCCGTCATCCATCAACTTTTCTCCGCGCGAAATGTAATCTGAGATGTCTCCTTCCCAAGTGGAGTGGGTGCCCAGGCTACTCAAACTATACCGGAGAAAATCACCAGGAGGCGGAACACGGCACCTTCCATCATTGACTTGTGTTTATAGTGTCAGCTGCACTCTCGCAAGCGAAGTCTTGGCGCACACAAAGCTCATTTCGTAAAACTCTTACCAAAATTCGAAATTTCACGCCCGTCGAAAACGTATCTCTCTTCTGCATCATCTTGTCAACTTGTCCTAATCCCTCTCACGTCCATTCCAAAGAACTGTCTCCCAGATTTGTGCATCAAGCTTTTCTTCCTCCGTCGGGTATAAATATCGGCGTGAGCGTGTATTTGGTGGTCAACTGAGGCCAGAGAAAGTCGACGAGAGGTGTGGTCATTGGAATGAGGGTGTACTATGTCGTACTTGTAGACTTGATGAAGTTTAGTTGAGAACCGGACTCTTTGGGAGTGAAAGTTTGACATGGTGGAGTAATTTTGAATTTTTGCCTCGTGGGCCAACTTCTTTAATGTTGCGAATTTTGACTGAACTTGACTCTGGGAGATTATTTCACTGCCAGGTTCGTAGAGGACACCGCGTACAGGTGTTCAGCCTTGCCCTCCGGTTAGGGAGTCGCAGGCCTCTGACAACTGAGGCAGTGAGCCTTAGTATCCTCTGCCCATTTGGGTTTTACATAAGACGAGCTAAGGCCCGTTTCTAGAGACCTTATATACAAATCAAACAAACGGTAACTTGGTGAATAAACATCCTAATTATTAAGGAAATAATGACCCCTCAGTTATTGAGGTTGTAGAGCGCACTTATTCAGGCAACTATCCAAGTAGAACTAAGTAAAGAATTTGTAGTTACATGTGTACCAACAACGTGGCCTACTTAAGAGCCCCAAATATTCTAAATTCTAACACTAACCTATTTTCATTAATCGAACTTTAACTATATACACCTATGTTCATGTATTTGAGCTCTAGCACTCTAAATCTAGACATGCGCTAATTGCAGAAAATCTGTGCTTCAAAATAAAAATAACTGGCACTCACTAGAGCTAACAACCTATTTCCAGTTTTGTCATAGCTAGATAGTAGAATACAATATGATTCAAAAAAAAAAATAGAGCTAACAACCCATGTTCATGAGGGAAGTCCCTATCTTTGGCCAGAGGTGCTTCTACACCCAACTCATTTGGCGGCTTTTCCAAGCTTTCGAAAAAATACTTTTCCTATACAGAACTGTAGACCCCGGTCTGTGCTTGATTGACTAAAATTAAGTCTCTACTTAATCCTAGACTATGAAAGATTACTTGAGAATCTATCTAATCAGTTTCTTGAATTATGGGCTATGTTTTCATATTTTTATGTTATATCTGTGTACTAGTTGACATTGAGTGTCAATTACTGTAACCCGGTCCTCGACTATCCACCAAATTGAAACTTCAAAACCTTTGTAACACAAAGATGCTTTCGTCAGTATCGAGCTAGCGTTTTCCTAGAACATTAGTGCGGTCTTGCCGGTTGTGGACTAGCGATTTTCTGACTCGAGCGGGATGGGTGTCCACGCTATCTAGACCCTGGTTTATAGTTCAGCCCGAACGATGTACTATAGCACTATCGGGCATTAATAATGATTTTAACTTGGCCTGAAATCATCTAAACTATCCTCTTCAGTGTACGAAGTGGCTCAAGATTTTTTCTCTGTTTGGAATCATACTTTCTTTCACGCCCATCCCATATATTTGCTTCATCAGATTTTTGTGCCACTTCTTATTTCCTGCTAATTTTCATCTTGTAGTGAGATTGTATTCGGAAGCCAACAGAGGCCAGAAACTGGGTCGATGAGAGTTTTATTCAACGGAGCCAGGATGAACTAGGATATACTTGAAGAACTGATGAGGCTCTACTCGTTGTCAATATTATTGGGAGCGGGAGATTGATATGGTGAGAAGTCTTTGGTCATTATCTCGTAATTCTGGTCTTCTGCATTGCGAAAATAAAGAGAATTCGACACTCTGAGATTATTTGACCCCTAAGTTCGTTGAAAACAGCACAGCTTAATATTCATTCATCGTCCTACATTCAAACTTATTATATCTGAATTGGGTTGACGAGATGCTAAGGGTTTTACTTAATTTAATTCAACTTACTCTTATTTAACGTCCTATCAGAGATCTACCACACAGATCCACGAGGAATGTAAGCCGTGTTATGAAAAGAAAAAACTTTTAAGCCACGAAACTCATAGTTCCACTGCAATTTCACATCTTAGCTACATGCTGAGGATACACTTTTGTTACATTAATCTCAGTGTCGGTATAACAGCGGCTTGGAGATTTAATGTGCTAGCACAAATGTTCTGGTAACAGATTGTATTTTTTGTAAAAAAATGTCTGCGTATTCTATCTAATAAACGCGATATGGAAATGCTACTTGAACCAGTCTACAAGTTGGCCTTAGAAATTAGGTTTACACATGATAAAATCCCTCATAGTTGTCATTTATTCCAACACTCAGTATCACCACAAATTTATCTCCTGTAGCGCAATAGATTCTTCTCAGGTGAAGTACGGAAGATTCTTTTCACCATCGTTTTCTGCTCTCCTTATTGTTTGGGTGGTTGGAGCTACCGGCGTCATAAATCTCAACGTATTTAGTGCGGCCTTTGAATCAGCAATCACCTTACGTGGTCACCATAGTCCCTTACTTGGTGGGTCAAGTTTTTTGATGGCTGTTAGAGTGAATCCCTGATCGTCAGTTGTTTTTGACGCATTTGGTGCCGCAATCATCAGGATTGCTTCCCGTAGAATCTCCACCGTTCGCTCCGAGAGCTTGGAGCGGGCTCTCTGCCATGAACGTTGTTCCTTGCCGCAATTCGCGCAAGAAACTATCTTTTTCTGGCAGTCCCGAGTCTAGTGAGCACCAGCGCACCCGCCAGATAGGGCTACCTTACCACACGATGCCTGCGTGTGTCCCCATCGGCTGCTGTTGTAACATTGCTTTGGCTGGGCCCCTTGAGATCGCACCTATGCCAAGTAGAGCATAGCGTTGAGGACAATGTTGTGTCGGACCATCTGTTCTTATAAAGCCTCAATAGGAAGCCTTATTCTAATCGACCCTCTTGAACGGCCATTCTTCTTAGTCCGCTCAAGCTCCCATTCATCGTGCATCTATCGTATTCTATTTATAATTAGTCCTGAAATTCGGATACTTGTAGACGCCTAGATCTCCCTGATCAGAGTTGAGTTGTTGGCCAATTTGCCTCCTTGAATCTTCGTCTTCAGCGGGAGTCAGCGAGCCTCCATGGGAAAATATTGCCATAGGACCTGAAAGTCCTGTTTTCCATCAATTTGAGAGCCGTATTTCTTTGGCTCGCTGACTGAGCAGATACCTCACTGTTGTTACTCCGCAATTGGCGCACTGCGTATGCCCCTGGTGAATATTTCTATGCCTTTGTGAGCTGCTATACTAGCTGCATATTTCCCAATACATCGACACGTATTCTGACCGTTGTTTTAGCCACTGGCGGCGCAAAGATAGACGCGAAGGGTGCCGCCTATCTAGCGGGGACCACTAGGTTCTTCTTAACTGCTTCCTCAAGAGCCAATATCCTTTCTTCAAAAGGAAATTTCAGTGTCTGTATCTCCTTCCACTCCCTGCTGTGTATTTTGAATGCACTAACGGCCTACGCGATGTCTTCTGTAGTGATAGTAATGATGCCATCGTCGTCTTCATCTGAGTAATGAATTCTAAGCTTCCTCATTAGCTTCCTTGACATGCCCGCGTTTATCTCGATAGCAGCTGATTGAACTCCATTACCTTGGTATGTTTTAGCCATTGTCGCATCTCGAGACGCATTGGGACGGCTAGAATTGATCAAACCAGCTCCTACGTCCGACAAATTGCCGAATGGTTGATTTCTGAACGCGGGTGAGGTAAATGTAGGGTATAAATGCGAATAACGAAGTCACATTGGTGGTCAAGGCAACATGGAGTGCTGCGCGGCTTTTATTAGAAAAACAATCCGCCAAAAGAATTTACCTGAAATACAGACGAACTCAATCGCAGTAAAACCTGGCGCTAGCGAAATCGCGAAAAGTTACAGGTTAATTTGTAACTCATAGTTTTGAACTTGACGCGATAACCTTTATTCCCTGGACGCATCATTCAGCACCATTAATATTTTACTTCCGATGCTCTGAAGAGCAAATACCCTATCATGGATCAGGCAGAAATTCCTTCACTACTGAAGCATTTACAGAGTAACGAGGATGCTTCTCGAAAACTAGCCGTATTCAAACTTCAGGCTTCAATTAGTGATCCATCAATCGCAGATATGTTCATTGCCTCTGACGGTCTCAAAGTACTTCGGCAACTTATAATGACTACAAGTGGTAATACACTTGCCTATGCTCTCACTGCGCTCAGTCGCTTGCTGGAAGTTGAAATGGGGTGGGAGATATTTGAATCTGCAGCGGCAGGCGCCTTGATCGAAAGAATGGTTGAGTTAATCGTTACACATCCCTTAGTCAATATCTTACGAGGCGCCATGTCAGTACTAGCTGCAGTTGTAGGTCATTCCCAGAGCTCAGGAAAAGCCAACCAAGCCTTTCGTGCATTTGGATCTCACGCGCTAAGGCCAGCAATACGAGTATTTCCTCAGTTTTATGAGATGGTAATTTCACAACTCAACTCTGCGGACCACCTACTATGTGGGAATTCACTGATGTTGTTGAATGCGATGATACGTGATGCCATCTGCAAAGATCCATCTATCGATAGCAAGACGGAACAGTCGGTTGAAGTGGAAGTCTGGCCAAAGTTTATCAATGACCTAAAGTCTATCGGTATTATAGAGGCAATATACAAATTAATGCAAGGCTCATCACTTCAAGACATAGCATACCCCTTATTTGACTTTCAAGTTTTGTCAAAGTTATTGCTTAAAAAATGGAGAGACACCGAAGTAGATCTAGGCAACTCGCAACACGAGCAAATGCTTCAAGTGATAGAAGCATCCAGTCAGCTAGAGAATAAAGTAGATACTGATATGAAAACCTTGGTGGAGATAACAGAAAGTGATGCTAAAAAGAGGAGATGGCGAAGACTCGGATTTCAAACTGAAAGTCCTGCTTGGGAGTTTGAACAGTCAGGGCTTCTAGGGTTAATGGACTTGTCATCTTTCGCTCAAAGAGATAGAGATGGGTTTCAAATGTTACTTCAAGAGCAAGCTGCAAAATCAATAATCGAAAGATGTCCTATAGCAAGAGCCAGCCTCTCTGTGACCGAAGTTCTTTTCGAATTCTTTGAAATAGAAAATTCGGATAGTGATGATCTCCGGTCCAACCTTCCACTTGATGATATAAAAAATTGCGATTCTCTTTTCCAGCCATTTATTCTCCAATGGCCACGACTACACATAGCTGCGTTGGATTCATTTTTCCGGCTATGGCAACAGACAGGTGCTGAGCAAGAAGATTTTGGGAAAGTAGTTGAACTTCTACGTATCCTGATCGATCGGGTTGTCGGGTGTGCGATTCGAACCAAAGATATACAAGAAGTTGAAGAAGAAATGAGAGAGCTTGACTACCATAAATTGCGAGATATTCAGATGGAAATGTTAGAAATTGCATTCGAGGAAGAATGGGGTGAACACCTGGGACAAATTCGGGATGAATTAAGGAACGAAGGGATACAGTTTATGAAAGAACAAAGACTCAGGGTTCTTCTTCAAGGCGCTTGGTTTCCTCACCCTGCGGTAAGTAAGAATTATAAGGACCATAATAACTCTCAGGAAACCAAAAGAGGATGGCAGTATGTTAAACTGTCTCACAACCGGCGATATCTACATCATGCGGATTTTGAAGATAGAAGTTCTAAGGACCCTCCTCTTGATTCATTGGCTCAAAAGATTGACGTTGAGACTATCAGCTCAGTCGTCTCAAATATCTCGGCAGGCGGTGATAACGTCTCAAATCACTTTTCATCCGATACGATAGAGAACGGAAAGTCTCCGGAAACTCAAGCTCCTTCACATGCTCTTAACACTCGGATCATGATTAATAGTCATGTTACTTTACCAAATGATGTATCGAAGAGCCCCGGTCCAAAAACTGGGTCCGAAAAAGCGATATTAACCCTAGCGCCGCAAAATGATAGCCTAGCTTCCGCCTGGCTTGATGGTCTGCTTATGCTCTTGAACCAGACCCCTATCACAACGGAGACAGGTAAACTTATAGATCTAGTAAGTAGCTTTGGGCTGAAGATCAGGTTACTAAACGTACAATTAAACGACGACTTCATGGGGCCGTCAGAGGGCGACGGCGTGGTTCCGAGCAGAGAGGGCCTGGATGAGGATTACTTTTATCAGATTTAGATCTACATTGAGGTTCGGTACACGACTGCATCATTTATGATACCCTTTATGGAACACAACTTATTAAATATACTAGTATTATGTGGAAATATCTATCCGGCTAGAAAATGTATGGCAGGTGTAAAGCATGGTTTGATTAATTACAACCTCTACACATCCAAGCAAATCATTCTTCCGAATCCACTCTCCCGCTATAATAACATTTATGCAACTATCTGAGGTGGACTCATAAGTCGTAACCACTGTTAATCTATTCATCGGATAAACAGTCGACCGAATTGTGGCACAAACTTCGTTTTAGCCATGTCAACCCTATAACTAAGAAATTACTCCATCCTATATAAGAAAAGTGTGGCAGACAATCAAATTCTCCAACTTAACTCGCACAGACAACATCCAAGCATGAAAACCTAAGTTCTAGTTTATCCTTTAGCCTACAAAACCATGTACACCGAAATATCATGATACTCATGGGAAAAATAAGTGAGATATGACCAGCAACTTTGGACGAAAGATTTCATAGGATGTAAGCAATACTTAAATACGGCGCCTATACAGCAAGGTATATTCTACTCGTAACCCTCAAACGCGGGGCTGCTAGCATTATGGTACCTAAGATTTTAATGGTCATCTCTTCATTAGATATCACTGGAGAGGAAACGTACTCTTATGCTTGCCCAATACGAAGTTAAGAGAATGTAGCTTCTCATCTCACACTAACCCTAAAAAACCCTAAACCACACGAAGCCTTTCAAGACAAATATAAGCAGAACATGCTATACTTTCTAATTTGAAACTATAAATTACGTAGTATTGTTGATGCAGTCTCGGTGCTCCCCCAAGGATTAGCGCAAGAGATACTTTTCCTCCTTTGCTGGCACATTGTCCTCAAAGATACTGCCAAGCTACAAAGTGCAACTTGGAGACAATTGCCCTTTCATATTGACCCTGGACATGAGGCTATTGCTTTTAACTGGTCCTAACTCCTGATACATTATCAGACGAAAAGATTCGCCATCTAGCCCTAACTTGGATGTGATATTGATATAACTGATCTCGACAGTCTGCCAAATTCGAGCAAATCACTGGGTACGGTTTGTTGCGGTAGTTGTCTGGTTAGCCTAGGACCTCAGAATTGGTTACAACACTTTCGTAACTGATGCTGGACCTTCCTTCTACGTCTGTTACCGCAAATTGGATTTGATCTCGAGGTCAATTTTCATAGATTACTGCATATGCCGAGGCTCTACGCCCCTCATGAATACTTCTCGGCACAGCTGTGAAGCAGCGTCGTTTCTAGGCCGTGATAGTCCGTAAAACAGATAACAGCGGCTGTCTCCGCTGGCTAACTCGACACCATATTCCCCTTTGATGTTCGGAAAGGATTAGTCTAATGAGCCATGTAACACGTAGCATAAGCATGCCGTTCCAGCAGCCTACCTAAGAATGTGCCAATAGTGAGGAGAATCCTAATTATTTGGAGTTTTAGGGGCTGGGTAACTCATCAGATTGAGAGCAAAAGGGAACACAAGAATAAATGTACTCGTACCTCGCCATTTTAATATTGAATTTGAATTTGAAATCCTTAACGTGACAGGACGGACCTAACATCTATTTAGCCGTGACACGGATAGATGAGTTCTGAGAACTCAATGCTACCTAAATGACCGGCATTAAAGCCAGAAGTGATAAAAGGAACAATAAATTTCTGATTATAGTGCCTTGCGCTGCATCCCTATCTTCCGAGCACATCCCCTCCCGAGTTGGAATCCGTCTCAGCATGATTACCTCCCACCCTGTTCATTCTTCGGCAGACTGCAACATCTGCTTGTAGTTATGAATTGGAAAAACTTCTACCATCTCTTCTCCCCAATCATCTCTTTGGCTCCAGGCGGGGCCAATTTCTCACAGCTTCTCCAACGTTGCAGAGCAGGTCGGTACTCTGAAAAATGCCAGGGCCTTTTCTCTCGGCCGCAAACGTATTTCAGATCTTTATGTTCGGTGTTGAGACGTCGATGGTAGTCGGCGTAGTCCCCGTGGCCGGTCCTTGCCGCAATTAGACGATGGTACGCCCATCTCGGTAGAGCCAGTTCCGGCGGTCGTTTGCAGCGCATGAAGAGGTCAAGATCTTTGTAACTCTTTTTTTAAATGTCATTAAGTGTATACAGCCTAACTAGCTATGACACTAAAGATCTTTGTATCGTTCTGGTCGAAAATTCTGCCACCACCCTTCCACGAGTTCTTGACCCCACATTTTAACTAGTCTTCCTAGTACCGTAAAGGTTAGCTTTTGAGATTCTCCACTGCGCAAAGCTGTGGTTATTGACCAGTTGTTGAGAGATCTCAAGGCCGATTTGGCCAGCTCATCGGCCTCTTCACAACCTTTGATCCCAACATGACCAGGTATCCAGCGTATTTTCACACGCTTGTTTTGTCTCAGCAGTGAAAACTTGTCCACCACTGTCTACGAAGAATTAGACCTTCCTATCAGACTAGGATCAGAGCCCGATGGAATCAGTATTCTTGACTTGATGTTTTCGTGATTCATGTAAATTCCATTCTTCTAACATGATCCTAACATTATTGTCAGAATAACATGTCAAACTAGTACCTCACATAATTTGTGATTGCCTCAGAAAAAACTTGGCGTCCGTGTAACAGATGTGGTGGACTGCTATTGAGTATTATTAGGATTAAATCTTAGCTACAAAATGTTTGGATAGTGCCTTGTGATGTAAGGAAGCTACTTCTAGATATTATCATCATATATCAGGTAGTAGATATGTGTATATATATAAGCTGAGAGAAAGAGAAAGACAGACAGATAGACAGACAGACAATTACATCTTTTTATTTACTTCAATTGAAAGCTTCTGTGCGAGCTATTCTTCAGATATCCCCAGTCTCAATCATTACAGCTTCCGAACCAGCTCAAAAGGTTCGACACTTCCTATTTCGAGTGCCCGAGCAGCCGCTTGATTGTTCAGAAGAATGCTGTTAAAGTTATGAGCTTGAGCGAAGATGGAGGTTGTAGCGGAATCAGTGTCGGCTGTAAGACCGATGCAGTAAGTCTTGTATGAGGTTGTGAGAGGAAGATCCGAGTGGAAACAATTGTATTTAGATGTATGGTTCAGAGTACAACCGAGATGATAAGAGTGAGATTGCGTGTTCGCATATCTTATCAACTGTGGTTTTTGACCAGTATTTATCAATATCCATGGATTGTAAGTTGTGATCCATGTAGATGTAGATCTATGTACATACACATATATGGGCCAGGAATATAAAGCTAAATACATGTGTATCGATAATAGGTACGAGAAAACTCTAACCTACATTTAAGTCATAGTCATCCGCTGGAATCCTAGTGTGAAATAAATGCTAATTCGCATTAAACTTTCGGTGAAGGATGTATTGATAACAGTGATATAGAATGGAGAATTTGATAGTCAAATTAGCCGGACTTACTAATAAGTTATTCTTGGCATTCCAAGATATATCATATTTCAAGAAATGCAAATCAGTAAGTCTTCTCCTACCGTTATTGCAGCCTCCAAGGCTTTCATGGCGCCTACAACCTCCGCGTCGAATAGCTCTGCTCCGGGAAGTGGACCGGAACTACTCCCAACTAGCCTGCCTCTTTGGTATACTACATATCCCCAGGCTGATTTTCCAGGGCCCGACGAAGATCCGTCAGAGAAGGCACAGATTGTCTCGGCTGGCAGGGAAGCTAACCATCGCTTTATGCTTCCTGACCTAACTTCTTTTTCACGACTGCATGAAGTCAGTGCTGGAGAGCGATGTGGAAAGTAGAGCCATCCAGGGCCTTCGGATATCGGAATTTGACGCACGCTCATTTCCAGGCGTATCATGTATCGTTCTGGCTGTCTGAGTAGGCGATCCCGTTGTCCAGCTCGAAGACCTAAGCGTCTGATAGTATCTTTCGGGCCCTCAGCCGCCCGGAGGGCTAGAGAATGCCACAAATCTATTCTTCGTATGCGAGCTGCCGATCGCAGCATCTTTTGCTGGAGGATGATGGATGCCGGGAGTACTTCCGCTTCACGTTAAAGAGCGCTTTTCTAAGTGGTACGCCACGCTGGGAGTGCCACTCTGATAGCTTTCATTATTATTTTGTTCATCAGAGATATATGCCAGCCTACTCTGGTGCTGACTTCTTTATCTCGCAGTGTAGTTATTCGAGTAAGACCCGGCCACCACGCTTCTGCCCCGTATAGAACTGTAATCAGAACGCATACCTGTACTGTACGATTTAGAGGTCCGGGAGCTGCACCGCGTGAAATACTGTTTAAATGTCGTAAGAAGTGGACTAGACGGTTAGCTTTTCCAGACCATTCCTATACATGTTGCTTGAGGCTCAGCTGGGTACCAAGCCAGACTCCTAGCCACCAGATGTGCGGTGATCGTTCGATTCGACGATCTCTCACCATGATGGAAAGGCCAGCCGTGTTGAATTTCTTTCTAGGTCCCCCTCCAGTCACTAGAAGCTCGGACTTTGCTGGATCAAACTCGATCCTATGTTCTCTGGTGAGAAGGATAGGCTGTCGACGTCGTCTCGTACTGCGGAGATGGCTTCAGCTGTAGTTTTTCCAAATCTAATGATGGCCATATCATCAGCATAACCAAACCTGCTCGTTAGACCATGGTCCTCAAAAAGCACCGCGATGTAGAGCATAAAAAGAAGTGGCGATAGTGGCGAGCCCTGAGGTACTCCACATTCCAGTATCTTTTACTTCGTAGTTCCGCCGCGGTATTTTACCCTCACCTTTCATTGGCAAAAAATTTCTGAATAAATCGGCACAGGGATAGCGGCCAGCTTTTTTCTCGAAGGCGTTTGAGCAGTCGGTTGTGACGGATTGCGTCAAAATCACCTTAAATGTCAAATGTGACCATAGCCGCACATTCTCTGCTTCTCATGGCCGCCTCGGCATCGTGGATTACGCAAGATACAAGGTCGACCGCCGATCGTCCTGGTACATATT